AAAAGGAAATCTTCCAAAAGCTTGTAGCAAAATTGGATGAACAATGTGATAACTGTCTAATAGGAAGTGAAATTGACTATCGCCGTCTGATAGCAAAAAGATCTATTGATCAGGTGAGCATGAAGGCAAATCAATTATCTTTTCCATGTGTTTCTGTTTTTATGACTTTTAGTTGTGAAAGATGTGATGGCCACATCCTTTATTACCATACATGCAGATGTACGAGTATTGTACAGAACCTTAATGATTGACAAAGAGAGCAATAAAAAGAACAAGCTTGAAAATTTAAGCACATTTGAAGGTGTATCCTGGAGATAGCTCTGAATAATGAATGGTTTGCTAAACAAGAATGTGGTATTACATTGCAATAAGATTCAGTTTCTTTTTGTCTAAATTCTTTAATTGGTCCATTCATCTGTAGGAATATTCACACTCGTAACATTTCTAAAGATTCTCCTGGCAAAAAGATGAACTTGAGTCTTAGTTGGTGTGGTTGAGATGTACATTTTTGTTTCTTTCTGAACTTAATTGAATTTTCTATATTCTACTTCAGTCTCATCGTCTTCGTTGCTCCAATATATTGGTTATCTGTTAGTCATAGAATAAGTCCAACCTGTACTTAGATGTTGTTTTTGGGGTTAAGTGCATCTCCATTTTCCTATGTCTATTCAGGTTCATTATTTTTGGCCACTGAATAGTATCAAAACAAAGGAATTTGAGATTATGTGGGACAAGCTTACAAGACTATCTGGGGGAATAATCACTTCAAAGGCAATTCGAGTGATGTTTGGGAGGTACTCTTCAATCTATCTGCGTCCATGTTACTGATATATCTCACTCAGCTTTTGATATTGCATTTTTTTCGCAATCAGAACATTGGAGGTTCGCCTAAGCTGTAACGGTTTGGCACGTTTCACATTTGAGTACCTATGCGGTCGACCGGTAAATTACTTCATTTTGGGCAAAAGTATCTTTTATATTGTTGTGCTATTTAAATTAATACCATCTAAATCATTCTTTCTTCAAAATAATTTATAAGCTGAAACCTGCCTATAATGATTTAGGATTGTTTAAATGATGGTACTGTAAATAGAAAAGCTCGAAATATATAGATTGTGGTTTAGTGTTTTTTTATAGTATCACTAATTCAAAGCTAGTCTATCTTTTTTCTCTCTCTTTTGGCGCTCTGTTCATGCTGGAACAATTTCTATTGTGTGTATGCTGATGCATATTTAGTATCATTCATTATCTGAAAACATTCGAAAACAGAAGCAATATCTGGTCGATTTTACAACTAAAGACTGTTAAACTTGCTTTGACTCTTTCTAAGATTTGTGCCTCGTATATTTTTGCACATCTTTAAATGGAAATCCTTCCTTCCATCTTGTAATGTACTTTTGCAAACAAAAGGAAGGAAACTTGATGAAACAAATGAAAATAGCTAGGTCCATGTCTAGATCAATATTCAAAGAGTTCATACTGTCATATTATTGGATATTACTGCAAAGAAAAGCACTTTGGTGGAAAAATATGAGTATTCCTTCCTAAAAAATATCTTCGAAGTCTCAGATGATTCTTACTGTTTGTGAGTGTATACTAAAGCTATCAATTCCTGTCCCTGATAGATGAACCAACCACTCAGTGACATCTGCACTGCATTTTAATTTAATTTTTTGATGCTTGACCTTGTTGCACGTCCCCCTTTACCTTCTTTTTCCTGTTTGATCCCATTAGCAATTATTGCAGGTTGGAGCCGCAGATTATATTTCTGTAGCTAAAAATTACCACACGATCTTTATCTCAGACATCCCTACTATGAGCATGCAAATTCGTGATAAGGTACCAAGGCTGCTTAAGTGAATGCTATTTCCTTCAGTACATCAGTATCAATTCCTACAGCATTTTTGTGCATGCAAGTTTTTGTGATTTACATCAGGCTTTAAATGAATAGATATGCTTCTTATCGCCCATGCTGTTCACTTGACATTCTTCTTTTTCCTTCTTTCAGTTTAATGTAAGGAGAAATTGCCTATTTTTCACTTTAGTCTTTCTTTTCTTATTTTACCTATTACATCAAGGGGGAAGGGAGCTTTTGAAGGTCGAACAGGTTCCCTTAAAATGTCATCTCAAGGGAAAATCATACTTGTCTCAAGGTTTATGATAAACTTACTTCGAAACTTACCAGCCACCATTAGTAGTATACAATAAGATAAAGCTTCTAGATTCCTGATTGCTATGCACTTAGCTTGAGTTTGAACATGTTCCATGGATCATGGTGGCTTATTCAGTCTCATGGATGGGTTTCTGAAGTACAGTCGCCCTCAGTGTATTTAGGGATCATAGTTTTCAGCATACTAAAATATGGTGCCATTTTAGTGAAACAATTTAAGGCACCTTTTAAGGACAACAGTTTACAAGCTACCTAATAGATTGCTCTATATGCTTGCAAGGTGCTTGTGCAGTTTATCAGGTTATCCTGTTTTTCTTGGATAAGACTGACCAATGTGTGAGCATTCTAAAGCTTCCAATGATTATCTTATCTTTGGAAAGCTAAGACAAACTGATAGACCGACAGTCTAATAAACAGATTGATATTGCTTCTGTATGATTACCAGCTACAATTACCGATAATGGGTTTCTCGCTTCCAGGCTCGGAGATTTATAACTCTCATTGATGAACTTTACAATCACCATTGCTGCCTATACTGTTCTGCTGCTTCTTCAATAGATGACCTATTTCAAGGAACTGAAGAGGGCACACTTTTTGACTTGGAGAGGTGAGGAAATCATTTGATCATTCTTCTTTTGTGAGTTTCTTGACACATTGGTCCATGGATGACCCCCACACCCTTTGGCTTTGCTTAGTTAGCTCTTTCATCTTTTGACACGCATGAGTTTCATCAGATATTATTTTACACTACCTAGCATACTTGCAACATGTCATCAATTCATTATAGATCAATGTTATATAACAAAGTATTCCCTAAAAGTATCAAAATTCTATTATGAGAAGTTTCCTAGAGCCATGGAGGTTTTTTTTTCGTTTTTTTTTAATTATATCTGTTTTCTGCTTCTTTTCTCCTGAGCAGAGCCAAGTTCTTTCATTAGCTAGGGTTTTATTGTACCATTTTGACATTGTTTCTCATGATGCAAGTTTTATGTGTCAATTTTCAGTGAAAAATGTGTGCTGTGCTTTACCTCTGCTTACGGTGTGCCCTATTTTCATTTTTGTTTTTCCTATATTCTGACAGTTCAGTTTTATGTTGCCCTGTACGTCTTTATTTTTTCTTTTTATGACTTAGTGTGCTTTTGGCCTAATATCTCATAATGTTAATTAACTATGATTCGTCAAGGACAATCCTAAAGCATTAATATACATTAGAGAGAGAGAGAGAGAGAGAGAGAGAGAGAGAGATGATTTACTTGCTGCGATTTCAATGAATAATTGATTTTAGTAGAATAGATTGTTATGTTAGTAATACTTATGAAAGGATTCGAGGATTAAAAGACCAAATATGTTGTCCTTGTATGCAGACGTGATATTTCCCTCCAGAAAATGAATCATAACATTTTCATTAACAGAGTGATGTGATAAATTGATCAATTCAAATTTAGGCACAAATAATTGTCTCTTTTTAATGCAAAAGACATAGTTTTATATTACACATTGCTTCCCAAATGGTAATGTCATCTAAACCTGCTATTAAGAAATCTAAGGGTATGCACTAGGTTGGTAGCATGATATCAGGATTGGCAGTAAAATGGATATAGTGAATTTACTGTTTTAAAAGAGTATGGAAGTGACTTTTGGCATAGACATTACTTCTCTTTTATGTCTGGTGACTGATGATCAAGTTTCTGGTCAAGTACATTCTCAGTGAGAAAAACGAATCAAATATGAATGGATAACATTCGTAAGGCCAGTCTTTGACCCGTCTAGAGTTGCTGGAAAACTTTAAAGTTTAAGCAATATGCCATCTACATCACCTGTCTTTTAGCTTCAACTTCTGTCTTTGGTTATAAAGACTACATTGGTTCATTTCTGCTCTCCTTTTCCAGCTTCCAATTTGAAACAGAGACTGAAGGTGCCAAACTGCGACGAGATGTTCTAGCAGAGGGCACAGTTAGTTCTGGTGGTACACCAACTGGAATTACTTCCATGCTATCTGGTCAAGAGGAGATGTTTGCATTTCGCCGAGCTGTAAGTCATTTTTTGCATGATTGTCAATTTTTGCCGTCTTTTATCATGAATGTTCTACATTTTTTCTGTCAAGTCATAGGAAATGCTGTTTCTAAGTCCATAGTTTAGCATGTTAAACCTTCTCATAGAAGGTTATTGCAATTTCCCTGAAGGGTTAATCGCAGTAAAACCCCATCAGGTTTAGCATGCTTTGCATGTTAGTCTTAAAGTTACTTTCTCCCACTTTACTCCTCCTCCCATCAGGTTGAAAAGGGCATCGTTGCCCCTGGCTTGAATAGGTTACTTATACTAAACTCCCTTAACGTTTATTGTAATGTTTACTCCTTGAGTTAGTTTTGTAACACTTAACCCACTATTGCCATTGATGAAAACAAGTTTGTCGTCAAAACAACTAAGACTTGTACCCCTGGCAACATTCAGACAGTGTCCCATGCTGCACCCAATAATACCTGCTTCATTAGACTAGCAGAAGAAATTGTCATGCTGCCATAATAAGATGAATCTGGTGGATTCATTAACTCAGTTCTTGACTGGTGTATTCGCCATGGCCTAAGATTTGCTATCAGGAATAATCTGTTAATATCTTTTGTTCTATCTTTGTTATCTGGTAAGTTGTGGTTGTGATTGTGGCCTCTATATACTGTACATTAGGGCATGAACTAAAAGGCTGGTACATGCAGGTTTCCCGCTTGATTGAGATGCAAACACCTTTATACCTGGAAGGTGTCCGCCATCTTCATCCGTATTTCCAGAATCAAAAGGAAAGCTTTGGTACTCTTAATGCAAAAGCAACTCAATTTCGGGAACCATCTCTTGAAATCATTTGATGTGTACATCACGTCGAAAGTTTTAGTACATTTTTTGTGCTCGTTTGCCATCATTTAATAGGATATACCGATAACAAAGGGAAATGAATTTTTAAACAACATTTTGCTATCTAGTTCTGTTCCTATTTCCAAGGATGCCCTTTTCCTCTTGATCTTCGGCCCGTAAAATTACACGTATATATATATATATATATATGGAAGTCAAATCCCTCTTCATATCCTGCAAAAGGTGTGAAGTAAAATATTAAGCAATGGAGCAACCGAAGAACATAGTGAAGATAATAAGCTGGAGACAAGGAAGAAGTGTAAGTACTGGATGTATTCAATGTTGATTTTGGCATCAGGGTTGCGGGAGATAGCTGCAAAAGCATCACTAGACAAAACAATGGTGGAAGGGCATGGGCGTCTTGGGCAGAAATCCACCACCCTAACGTCGATGGTGGTGCCAATATCTCTGCATGGCTTGTTGTTGCCGCTCAAGCATCTTAATCTGTAGCGTCTGCCGCATGCAGCCCCGTTATCCCACAGCCCTTCACTCACAGCAACGAACAGATTTCCTGCTGGAAACTGATCATTTCTGTTTCCCCCGCACTTGGTGGCTGCACGAGTTAAATTTAGAGTAAATTTTATAATCAAATTCCATATCCTTCCTAATACGATTCTCAAACAACTGAAAAAACAAAAAAGCTGCTGCTAAATAATGATATAGAAACTTCTGAGAAATCAAATGTTGCTCACGGGTATATGGAGGATTGTAAGAAGTGGCAGTGCCAATGTCTCCAAGGACTAAGTTTATTTTAGCCAGACTGAATATGCTGATTAAGACAAAATTGAAGCGGAGGAGATCCATGATTATGGCTGTGGACTTTACTTCTGCCTAGGTAGGGTAGCTTGATTCTCGACTTCGGATGTGGGGGAAATGTGCCTAATTTACCTCAAATTTATACTAGCTGTAGATAAAATCAGCCCCAGGTTTCAAACTGATCTCTAAACCGTCCCCTTTATTTTTTTATTAAGGTATTTGAATGTGGATAGCTACTAAGAAAAGTTGCCAATATCTAAGCTGCAAGCAGCACGAGTACTTTTGGTTGGGAATCAATGGCAATTGCAGTCCACGTTGACAATGGATGGTGAAATGAATTCAGCTTGTTGACGATGAGAGGAGGGGTTGAGCGGAAATGGGGCAGGAACGGTTGTCTCTGAAGGTTCACAGCCACGATGTAGCCTTAAAAATTTGTGCGGTTCAGATTACAGCATGTAACTCGATTTTCACGCCATGTGTGGAGCCCACAAAAAAGTGTTGTAAGATTACGTCGTGTGCAATGGAAGTTACACGCAGTTGAAAATGAATACAACCTGCAACTGTTTGTGCCCCGTGTTCGGGTTGAGCATATGGTTTCCTGCGTCATGCACAATCTTTCCACTTTCCCCTAGAAATGTTTTGTTTTTTACAAACATGGTACGCTATCAAACTACCATCAATCACATTGTTCATAATCAAATAGGGTTTTGGAAATTTAGCACATGTCACTAAAGAAATACAGTAGTAGGTTTCAAGAAACTTCATATATATATATATAAATCATCAACCCACTCTTATAAAATATGTCATCAAAGGAATCACAATCGTGTTGGTAACATGGTTCAAAGTCGCTGTCGTAGTTGCGGTCGCGGCTCAAACTGTTCCACATCTGTCTCGACGTATCGACCGCGGTCGCAAATTTTTAAAAAATTTAATATTTTTAAAATTTGTAAAAAATATAATAAACAAAAATAATAAAAATTCAAGTTGACTTGGGATGATTCGGAGTGACTCGGGACGATTCGACCGTTTCTATCCATTTCGAAGACGTCTTGGTTGAGTTTTCGGTGATTCGGTCAAGTTCTCGACAATTCATCATCCTGGTATCGGATTGGGAAGCCCCGTTCCGGTGACAACTCGGCCGAGTCTTTGAACCATGGTTGGTACACTAACTAAGGTCTCTGTTAGGAAGAGTACAATGTTCATGTTTTCTCTCGGTTACATGTTTACAACATGAAAAATAACTCAACTGTCAAATATTATAGCTGATAGCTCTAAGTGATGTGAAGGCCGTGCTACGGAATTCAACTAACATACCATGTAAGATGTCCAAAGTAAAAGTCCACGGACCGCCACTAATGGACGACTAGCCTGCCCTGGAAATCAAAAGACAAATTCCCTTTCAGTTCTTGCACAAGTGGTCGGTGCTGTTTATAGGTTGAAAATTGATGATCATCATAGCAATACTGATATGATGAAGCACTTCCCCATTGGGGGGGCGGAAAGTGGAAGGCTTATCCTGAGTAATGCAGGTGGGCAGCGACACTGCCGATGCTACTACTGGACGGCCGGCCGGACATTCAACACTGGGACTGGGGCTCCATTGTTCATAATATCGTTGCTCCAACTTAATCAGGATTAGCCGCCGCCTCCTCCCCTTTTCTTTCTTTTCGTTTTTATTTTTTTGGCTGTAAATGTATTACGGAGGCCGTCCAAAAGCACATGAAATCCTCAGTGCCACTTTCTCAATGTCACTTCTATATTTATATCAAATATCCTGTTTGTTTAATTTATCATGTGTTGTTTATTAAAATTTTTTTTACCATCACATGATAAATGGGATTGATACTGAATTTGACACCGAATAGTGTGGCACAGAAGATCGCAATTGATCCAGAAGGACCGGAAGTTATCTCACTAGATTTAGCGCATGCATGCATGCACTAAGTAGTTGTGGCACAAAATCATGATTGCTTTGTTGATAAATTTAGCAGCGAGTGGAGTGATCCAAAATCTTACTACTATCTGAATAAATTTCAAGATCCCAAAACATGATAAATGATAATGCTAATATACTTAATCGCAAGACTATTGACCATAAAAAGATCATGGGAGTGACTTGGCAATTTGTGACTCTATTTCAAACGTGATAAAAAATTATTATAATTGGAATACACCAACTCGTTAGTGATAGAATTGGATATGCACTTTTCTATGATGAGATTTAAATATATATATATATATATATATGAGGATCCCCCTAGAGCTAGCCATAATTTTTATTGGCTAGGCATCTTTTTGCATTGTCAAACGGGATATGTTAAGAATTGGCTGCCGGGCGATTATGTTAAAGAGGTAAAACTACCATATTTATGTGGAGTGCAAAACCCCTCCAAATGATGTGCCAAAAGGATTCATTAACCTTGGTTATCAAAACCATGCAGTTTCTACACTTCATTTTTTTTTTTCCCTTGAAAGCACGTCCTTAATTTTGTTGTGTCATTGACTTGGCAAATTCTAATTTCTGTATAGTGATCAATCATCAGTGATCACAAACCATTCTAATCTTGGTTTTGGGTAAAATGTGTGAAGTGATAACACTAGTCAAAGTATTCAAAAGGCAATTATTTGGAGATCGTTGACACAAAATTCTGCACGCCGGAATCACACATCAATTCCATTGTTGCAAAATTGAAGGCACGTTTGGTCTAAGTTTAGAAATCGGAATTGTAATTCGAATCAATTCCAAAAATTCAGTATGGGTTTTGATCAAGAGTATCATTACAATGATTAGTGTTTGGTATATATTTATAAGGTTTTGAAATCAACTTATTTTTTATTTTTTTCTTTATTTTTTCTTCTTTCCCTTTTCTTGCCTTTTCTTCCCAGCCCTTAAGTACTCATGATTCACCAAATTCTCTTGAACCACCAGCTGACCGTCACCATTACAATCTGTAGAGCATGGGAGAGCAACTGACAAGAGATGAGAGAAAGGCTTACACAAAAAGGGGGGGAAAAAAAGAGAGGAGAAAGAACTAGATGGAGAGAAGAGACTGTCATGAAGTATTGGAGGAGAGAGGAAGAGAATGAAAAGAGAAGAAAGGGGAAAATGAGAGAAAGGTTTACAAGAAATAAGAGAAAGAACCATATGGAGTGGGCCTGCTGCCATGGAGGGTTAAAGGAGAGAGTAAAGCGAGAAAAAAGAGAGAGAAAGATGATAATGAAAATCTGCTCTGGAAGATGGGATGAGAGAGAAAATCTGATTGTAAGATGCTGCCATGGAGGTTGAACCGACGTGATAGAGTGATAAAGATAGATATGTTATCTTTTCTTTTTTAATATCCTCAAGTTAAATTGAGACAAATTTGAGAATCTACCAAAACCTACCAATTTGTTGGGGATTGAGAATTCCTAAATTTTAATGATTCACTCCAAGATTCTAAATCCAATACATACAATCCAAATAGCAAGAATTGGAATTATTTCAATTCCTCATTCCGATCCCCTTTTACCAAACCGCGCCTAATACTTGAAATTATTGAAAATTACTGTTACATTTTCACCAACCAATTAACAACATGGTCATGAACTTGGACTTCTCAACCATTAAAGTAGGAACTGAGAACAGGACAAGTGATTCACGTAATATCCATATAGCTAGACGAGGACCACTTGGGATCCTCGGTGACATGTTTTCTATGCCAACCCAATGCCACCGATAGTGTTGCGCCAAGTGTCTTGTTATTATTTAAACTTGTGTTAAACAAGCCAAATTGAATTATTGGAAAATTAAAGTGTAAATAATAACAAGACACTTGGCGCAACACTATTGGTGGCATTGAGTTGGCATAGAAAACATGTCACCGAGGATCCCAAGTGGACGAGGACATGTACATATTATAGAAGCTTTATGCATACCACAACTAAAAGTGGGATAAGGCTGCCTTTTAAGTAAAAGTCTAAAACTCGAGATATATAACTCCCATCACTATGAAAAAGTTAACTATTGACGATTACCATGCAATGACAATTATATTAATTAACATGGCGGCAGTGCCCTGATTAAAATGGTTCTTGATTAGTGGCGGCTAATCAATCATATAGCCAAGCGTCTCTAATCTCTAAGAAGAAATGATTAGGAAGCATGCGAGAATATATTGGTGCACTACTTGATTAGTACGAAAGCGATGTACCTAGGCCAGGCCACGTTGAATATTTAATTTGGTCAGTTTTCTGTTTAAGCTTTCCACCACGGATCAAAATCATCAAAAAAAATGGGTCAAAGCTGTAATGGGAAGTCAGAGTGGACATGGGATCAATGGAGAACAGAGAGAATTGGCAAAGCAGGATGATGATGATGATGATGAGGCGCAGAGTTGACATTAATCAATGAAAGCTTGATAAGCTGCATGCGTCCGGGTTGCAGTTCTGGGATTTTCCTGTTTCAATTTTCCAGTGGAGAGGGTCTCATGAGATGGGCAAAAAAAAAAGACAACTTTCTATGAGTATTATTCATCGTTTTTTTGTCAAATACCTATGCGACAAAATCATGCAAAGGCCATTTTCGCCTCATGCCTAAGTTGAGTCATAGTATCAAACAGAAGTCAATATTGTTAATAAATTAACTGAAAATCGTCCGGCACGATTTGTTGAACAGAGAAAATTGCACTAATGACAGAAAATATACAGAATATGAAACATGTCACAGATAATTATGCCCTTGTGTAATGTATTTGAGACTTATTAAAAGATGGTCTAAACTAAACATGCAACTGAAGAATTGCAACATCACGGATAGTTTACTTGTTAACCATTTGTGACCCTTGAATAAAGTGTTGTAACTTGAGTGTTCCTGATTAATTAGAAGGCATTCTTTTGCCATAAGTTGTGAATTTTCATTCGCATCTGAAGATTTCTGAGCTTCTTAGCAAAACTTGTAAATTCTAACAGCACGTGGTTGATATACTTGGTTTTTCAACCTCATTTTCTTAATAATCCTTCAATTAGCAGGCCTCGAACTCGAACTCGAACTATCACAGGGGAAGAAAATATTTGGAGCATCCCTAAAAAGAGCGAGTGAGGTTCA